TCTACATTCGGAAATACTATGTCCGTATCGTCGGCAATAATTACACCATTTTTTGAAAGATGGTTTGCCTTTAAAGTTCGGGTTCTTTTCGTAAATATTGAGTATTTCAGTGATTTTTTCAACGAGGTCTGTCTCTGATTCCTGTATATTATTAATATTAGTGGGAGTCGTTTCAATTCTGTTAACGTATTGTAATTTCAGATTTTCCGTTTCTTCTAGTTTCATCGTGATTTCTGCTTGTTCTAATTTGTCTACTAGTTTTCGAAAATCTAAATCGGGTTCTCGAATTGAAGAAGGATGGGATGCTCTCTTTTTTATTGCTATTTTCCTTAATTGTGGTGTTAAGGTCATCATTAAGATTTCTGTCATCTTTGTGTTTTTATAGTCATGTGTATTTAATGAATATGCTTTTCGAACTAGTGTTTCGATTCGTACTGCTATTTGCTTGATGGTTTCGTTTGGTAATCTGCGAATTTCATTACATAAAACTCTTTGTTGTTGTTTGTTTCTTTCGGAGTCAAACATTTTTGAAAATTCCTGTGTAAACCTTTTCCAGTTTGATTTTATTTCTAGAGGTAGTACTGAAAACCATTTTTGGGCTGCGCCATCTAAGGTTGTTTGTATTAACGCTGTGCGTCGATGTATCCAATTTTGATGTAGTGGCGTATTAATTGGTTCAGGTCCAATATTTAAAATCAGGTTTGCTGTTACTGCATTTAAATAATCTTCTACAGAGTATTCAGGGTCTGTTCCTGTGAAAACCATTAAAGGTTTGTTTGATGTTATTGATGATCCACCCATAAGGTATGGATTCATTGTCATTTGTAATGATTCTGCTGCATTTGGCATTTGAGAAAAATTTGAAAGTTGGTTTCTTGTTATTTCATGTTGTTGGAGATAATATGGGAGTGGTATTTCATTTTGCATTTGTAATGGTTGATACGAGTGTGCAGTCATTGGATTTTGTTGTTGAATTGGTTGAAAAGATTGTGTATTAATTGGATTTTGTTGTTGAATTGGTTGTTGATGTTGTGCATCTATTGATTGTGGAGAAAAATTTCTATGATTTGTACGTGTTCTCTGTATTCCTTGTCTACGATATTCTTGAGTATTTGGTGCAAATATATCTGGTTGTAAGAAATCATCATCTGAGGATAAATAATCCATTTGATAAGATGTTTGTTTTTTATTTTTATTTTGTTGAAAAAATGGGTAATTTTCACTGTGATCCTGTGGAGGATTTGTTTGGAAATTTATTGAATTAGGTTGGGTCATTGGGTTATCCCAATTTCGAGATCTTGTATATTGGTTAAAATTTCTTTGTGGTTGATTATATGTTTTTGATGGATGTGTATAATTATAATTATGGTCTGTAAAGTTGTTTCTAGTGAATGTTTTGCGTGTTTTTGATGGTATTGTCATGGGTCTGTATGTTTGGTAATCCATATGTGAATATTTAGGGGCAACCGAAGGTTTAACGGTTGATTGTAAGGTTACCTGTGTTTGTGAAGGATTTGTATTTCTTGGTGTTGTTAAATTTGGGCGTATTGGTGAAATACTTTGTTGTGTAGTTGTTGTGTGTACAATTTCTTCATTTATGAAGTGTGATGGTGTCTGGATATCTTGTTGAGTAAGATTCCTAGTTCCATTGAGGTTTTCATTGTGTATAACTGTAGAGTTTAAACTATTATTTTGTGTATCGGGCAAAAATGTATTATAGTTTAATGGTGTTGCATCAATGGTTAATGGTATTACTTTTACATAATCTTTTATGTAAGATATCGTACTTATTGCTTGACTTGAGATTGTTTGTGGGAAGCTTATAAATGCGGGATGAGACCATTCGGGGTCCCAAACATAATCTGATTGTTCTGTGATAGCGGTATCATCGTTCGAGTTTTGGGGTCTAAAATTTTTTCTTGCTTGTGCAATTAAATCAATATTGTGTGTGAAATAATCTATTATGAACCATGCCAAAATTTTTTGTAGATCGTGTTTTGTATGTTGTGAAACGTCGTCTTTCGTGAAATTTTCTTTAATGATGTTTAAATAACTAGAGAGTAGTGTGATTTCATGTCGTACTCTTAAATGTTTAGATGTTTCTGTCGGTGAGACATTTGTTATTGGGATTTCGTTTTCTAATATCGAAATATAACTATATATTATTGCGAAAACTTCATTGGTGAATATGGAGTTTGCTCTTTGTGAGTTATGATATTGGATGCTTTTTATATATTCTGAAAATTCTTTTGAAAATTCTAAATCAAGATCGTCTGTTTGAATTGTATATTTTCTATTATTATGGTTTGGTGAGGTGAATTCTATGGAGTAGATTCCATACTGTTGTGTTATGTTGCATATATCTTTTAAGTAGTGGTCTATGATTTGTCTTTTGATTTTTACATCTGGGAACTCTGTTTTACATGGACTGATTCCGGGTTCAAATAAATTTAATAGTAAATTTTTGCAAAATATATGCTGTCCTCTATCAGTGGTTGCATCTACTATAAAAGGAAAGATTTCATCATCATCTGGACTTTCTTCACCTGGGGTGTGCGTTGAGCTCATTTTTTCGTTCGATGACTGTTAATATGTAATTATTAATGTGTCGAATTGGTTGATTCCAATTATATAAATGTACTGGTTTGTGTTTATACTGCTTTTTTATTCTTCTTTTTCCTCTTTTTGATGAATTTGAAGTTGTTTCTGAGTCAGAAAAATATAATTGATCGTGAAGTGGGTAATTTTTATCTATTGATTCTTTTAGTTTGTAAAGTTCGTCTAAACTGTTGGTTTCTGATTCTGAAAATGCGTTTCGATTTTTTGAAAATCTTTTTCGTGTTATTTGTCTTTGTTTCGTTATTATTTTTCTTTTTAGTGTTTGTCGTTTTGTTCGAATGTATCCAACTGTTTGTGTATGAGGTGTGATTACAAGGTCGTATTTTTTGTTATCTATTTCACAATTGTGTAAAACGATTGTTTGTTTATTTCCTAGGTTTTTAAATGACATAAGGTTTAGGATGACGGATGCAAAAGGTTGTTAAATGGTTTCTATTTTCTTAAACTGTTAGTTCTTACGATTTTTTGGTTAGCTTAACCTGGGTCTGTTTGTTCAGGGTTGGAGAGAAAAGTATATCGATTCCGAAGAATGATTTTTTACTTTCTCGTGGCTAGTATAAGTTAAGGTGTTAACTTACTTAATCTTACTTAGGGGTAGTGATTGTGTTCAAGGGTTGGAGAATAGTAAATCGATCCACAAGGTTCAGGTATAATTAGAACGCGAGTAGTTCGTTAGATACTATTTTAAACTTACTAAGTCTAAGATTTATCCTGGGTCTGGTAAGAGGGGGGGTCAAGTGAAGGATGAATAACCGAAGTTCTTCACTGTTTATCCTAATTTGAATGATTAGTTTTGTTTAAAAATTTCTATTAGTCTTGGGTCTTTAGAAAGGGTTGGGTAGTGAATCGACGTTTGAGGTCGTTAGACACTAATTAAGTGGGTGGGGGAGAACAAAGTTGTTCTGTTTGATCCAAGGATAAGCCTTGATGATCAAATTTGAAATTTAATTAAGTAGAAAATGATTTAAGATCCAAGGATAAGCCTTGATGATCTGGTTTTAAAATTAAGTTAATTTAAGTTTTAATAAATTTTTAAATGTGTGTAAAGGAAAGATTTAGTGTTTTGATGATGTTAGTGGGTTTATGATTGCTGTTATGTTTTAGATGATGGAGCTGGAACAACAGGATGATTTATGATTACTAACCATTTATTGTCATGCTACTAATTTTTATTTTTTATTTTTCAATAAATATTTTTCAAACATGTTTTGTATATTACTGCAGAGTTTTAGGAAAACGATCTTAGATCTTTTTATCAATCGTTATTGTATATTAATAATTTTGTTTAGCGCCTGAAATGATTTTGAAGATTAACTTCAAGGTTTTATGTTTGCAAATGAAAATTTAAATTCATTGCCAGTAGTATTCTAAATATAAAAGTTTGTTCTGGTTTTTGCCTAACTATCATATAGCTATATGGCAAGTTTCTACTTTTTCGTATGTCGTCTCTGGTTCGAGGTCTTCTTCCAATTCCGGGTAGTTCTGTTATGGTTCGGAATATTGGCTCTGATCTATTGAGTCGTAGAGACATTTCGATTAAATTATTGTCGTATAACATTTTGTAAATGTTTTTGTCTAATTTCTAATCTATTTTGGTTAATTCTAAGCTATTAAGGTCTTGTTCGAGACTTATGGTCGCACCAGATGAGTTAGGACCGAGTTGGTTAACTCATAGAGTAATTTCGGATAGGGTACACCGTCTGCTCGTCACGCTATCTTATTTTCGGCCGGATAGATTCGTGCAACTTCTTAGTCTAATACCGATCCTAATCTTACTCTTATACTATCTAGTCTCAGGTTGTTTAACTAGTCTCTGCTAGGCTCAATAGATCTAGGGTATACTGGTCTATTGCGGCTGTTGAAGTGCTCGGGAGAGTCCAACTAATTTCTAAGTTAAATTCAAATCTCTCTGGTGCTGAAATTACAAGTAACTTCAGCACTTACAAATAAGTGGGTTGTTAGTTAGATGGATCATGATTGGTTAATATTAAATACTTTACATTGGTAAAATATCTAAATTATCCAATCATAAAATGTAGTTTAGATCAGGTTCCAGCTTGTTGCTATTTTTTATCTACATGAATTTTTACCAATGTTTCATTACCAATTTTTATGAAATTCGTAAAATCAATTAAACTAACTCGCTGAAAAGAAACGGGCGTGTCTAATCAAAACGGAAAACAGAAAAAAAACGAAACTCCAAAAAGAAACGAGAAACGAAGAACACTAAGGAAAATTAAAGATTTATTTTTCCTAATATTTTTTCGTTGGCATTTTTGATGACTTTTTTGAGAACCGTAATTTGGATTTCTTGTTATGTTGTAAATTGAAAAATCATGTGCAGAAATTTGTGTAACTAAAAAAATTTGAACGACACCGACATTTCCTGTGCAATGATGTCCATTTCGAACTTCTCCTTGTCTTCTTGTTTCGACAGAAGTACAATCCTCACAACTCCACTACTTTGGCTGCCTCCTCTCTGACCAGAGACTAGTCTGGCTCTGCAAGACACAGTGTACACGCCATCCCACCTAAACCGAAATACATCTGTTTCTTATCAGATAAGAACCATTATGATAAATTGGCTCCAAGTGTCATGATGGTTACGGTCTCAGTTCTGCGGTCTCAGTTCTGCCATTGCACAAACAAACAAATTTAGAAATAGAAAATTCTTGTGCAAAAACATCATTTGAGAGAGCCCCATAATACTAACATCCTAAAAACAACTGATAAAATATAATGAGTAACTAAGTCTCAGTTCTGCCATAACTTTCTACGCCCAAATTTTTTGACAAAAAAAAACATGTGAAAAATGCACCACTAAGTTGTGACTATGGCTAAGACTGCATACGGTGCGATGTTAGCTTGCGGCGAAAACATCAAAGTCGTTCTTTAACTAGAGATGGTAGGCAGCGCAATTTTCTAAGTCTTTTTTTTAAAGTCGTGGACCTCAACACAGGCTGAGGAAAATTGTTTACGGAAAAATTATTGAAACCTGACAACATTTGTGATGTCCTGCATGATCCCAGTCGGGACGTCCCCACTCGACCTTTGACTCACAGTACACACTCCCCCCTCTGGCACGTGCATCTGACACCCCCCGAACTGGTACCAGAACAGGGGCTGCTCACAGAATCCCCCCTGCATCAACTCCAATTCCTGTTGAGCCTGGAGACGCGAGGCCAGTTTGGCCTCGTCTACAAAAATGGCGTGTTTTTTTTCTAAATTTCATCTTAATTTTATTCTGAAAAAAACTTCCGAAGAATTACGACTTATGATAGACTAAATTTGTTTTTGATAGACTAAATTATTTTTGTTTTCATTTTTTTTTCATATCAATAAAATTTTTAAATTTCAGTTTGGCTGTGCCTGAAGGAGCATTAATGCTTATCTACTTTTATATCCAAATATAGAAATGGAAAAAGTCAAAGTCTATGGCAAAGTTTTGGGGCGGATTAGCGGGAGGTGGGGTGGAATTAGCTCAGATCTTTGAGTTCACTCTGCTAACCGCCCGAAGGTTTGTGCATGCTTACATTTTAGACCACCAATTGTACACTTTACGATATTCTCTGGAACTTTCACCACCAGTATATTCTAAAGTTTCGTGATTCTTTGTCAAAAATTTCCAAAAAGGGACGCAAAACGGCATTTTGGCTCAATTTTGCAGGAACTTGTCTGTGGTTTTTTAATTGGGTCTCTTTCGCGCTTTAGGCGAGCTCAACAAATTACACCTAGTGATCTTGAAATACAAAAAAACTGCAAGACTTTCGAAAAAATTTTCTGTCCCCTTCAAAAAAGTATAGATTCCCCTGGTAAAAACTTGCAATGAGTATTGATAGCTGATAGAAAATTTATGACAAAATCAATAAAAAGTCCCTGGTTTAGTTAAAAGTTAATCGGTTACTATTTTTTCTTAGATTATTTTAAAGATTGGCTTGCAAATTTGCAAACCTTGGACTCAAATTGGTTAAAAGTCTTCATATAGGATTTTTACTAAGCAAAAAAAGAATACGAGAAAAGGAAAGCAATATGATCAAGTTTTTAAAAAGGTCGACAAAATATCCAACATTTTTTGAAAAGCCCTCGCTCCCCTCGATAAAAGCCTTGGCTAGCGCTTGATTAAAACAAAAGTACTTTGATAGAAATAAATAAAGTCTCAGAAAAATAGTTGATTATGGTGTACCGAATACGAGGTCGTCTCTGGGCATAGTGATGAAACATTCGTCCCCTGTCAAATCCCGGTCTATGGGGAACTCCAGCACTTTACTGTCATCATCGCCCGCATCTATCAGTCGGACTAGACCAGCGCGCCACGTGATACCTGAAAAATAGCCACGAATTGATTCCTTTCTCTCCTCTTTTCGCTTGCTCTGACTTCACAAAAAAATGCCTACTGATGTAATTGCGTTTTCGAAACAAAAAGATGGGGTCAAATTTGAAATTAAGAGTTAATTGAGCAAGAATTGGATTTCAAAAATACATGGGCAAAATTGTTCAATTTATTATTAAGGTGAAAGCATGTAGAAGAACAGGCAAAAAAAAATTTTTTAAAAAACTTTTACTAAGACTAGATTTTCAATATTTTACTTATTTTGTCGAACAGTTTGTCAAGCTTTCAAAGAGAATAAAAACCCTCTCAATGCTAAATTAAAAACTTCAGATACTACTGCTATAATTTCTGAGTTTTATTTTCCGTGGCTTTAAGTTCACTCACCTGGTCTAATGCCCTTGAATCCGACTGTCACTTTCTCAACGTCTCCCACGTCTTGTATCATAAGAGTGAACACATCTGCCTAATTTTGACAAACATATAAAATTGTTAAAATAACCCGGAGGTTAAAGAATACATGCTGTATGATATAAGTTTACAAATCAGCTGATAAAATGAATTGAATCGAGGCTGGCTTCTAAATAATATTTTAATAATCAACTTTAAGGTAGACGTGAGAGTTCGATATACATAAATGATTTGAAACCCCATATATTTTAAGTCTTAATGATTTATTTTTTGATGGAACATTTTTAATCTATTTTTTGTTTGAGTATGTTGTATTATTTTTCCCAAATTTAGGTTTCTCTAAAAAAACCAAATGAATCAGAGTTTCCCGACAAAACCTTTCATAGCGTTGAAATCATTTCAATATGATTACAGTTGAAATCAAAGATTTCCAGTGAGGATTAAAAATCTGTTAATAAAGTTTCCTGTCAAAGTTTAAATTGCCATTTTATGAACAAAATAAACCAGGCTCCCGGGTTGACCAAAAAATGCTAGTCAAACAATTTTCATATATGTAAAAATGCTAATCATGCACTTTTCATGCAAATCCATAGCTACAAAAAATGCATGAAAGGTCTATTATTAATATTTTTTCATATATGGAAATTGTATGACTAGCATTTTTCCATAAAGTACGAACACAAGTGACAAGAACCTTGGTTACTCAAGCGTAGAGTAACTAAAGGTTTGACCGCCTCGCCTTAAAAATGTCATTCAAAAAAAAGAGGAGTTTTTAGCGCTTTTGAAAAAAGTTATTAAGAAAAAAGGAAAAAAAAAATCTAATATAAATGTATCCAGGACTGCGTTATACACACAAAAATTTGAATTTTGCATGCAAAACCTTTGTTTTTGGAAAATGTTAGTTTGAGTGCCAAATTCGATTTGAGGGTAAAAAAAACACAAAAAATTGTTAGAAGCCAATTTAAAAATTACTTGGAAAAACTTTTGTTGTGGCCATCAAAAAAGTGCTGGTCATACAATTTCCATATATTAGAATTGTACGATTAGCATTTTTTTTCACAAAAAATTTTTATAAAATTTTTTTTTGTACGACACACCAAATTTTTTGCTAAAAGAAGAAAAAAAGGAAAAAAATTCTTCGAAAGTTCAGTGAGACCATTTTAGCAAATTGTATGAAATTGGTTTGACTAGTATTTTTTCATAGACTTCGTTTATGGAATTGTATGATTAGCATTTTTGGTCAATGAAGGTCAACCCGGCCTAGCTAGCAAGACTTAATTGTTTTTCACAAATATTAGAAGGTACCGGAGTTTGTTGACTTTTTTGTTGATTTTTTGTAAACTTTTTTTGGTAAAGATAATGCCACTAGTATTTACAGCGCAGGAAAGGTTTGAAAAAAATCTGACGAAATTTTGTAAAATGAAACCAACAGGTCAGAAGATTAAATCCGTGAGAGTGAGTGGCGGGAAACCTTCCCCCCCCCTTACATCATCTCCGTCTCAAAAAATTTTTCCGTCACTCAAAAGAAATACGGAATGTTTTGTTAATTTTGTATTTGCACAAATTCTTTCATTTTTACTTTCAGGCTAGCCACAAATTCCACTCAACAATAAAAACAAATTAAGAAAATAGATTTAATGGTTCGTTCTATGCATCCATTTAGTTCCAACTATTATAATGGTTAATAACCTGTTCCAAAATTTTTTTTGATTAGAACCCGTTCTGAACCAATTCTTTAATTCTGACGAGAATTAATTTGCTTCTAATCCAAATATCTGGCAAGAATTTTTTTTCGAAATGTTTTGAAAAAGCCGGGTTTTTCTTAAATTTCTTTATTTCTCGTATTTTTTTCTAATCCGAAAATAGCTAAACCTAGTGTACTTCTAGCTAGAAAAAAAACATCTGGTATAGACGGTTGTGCTAACCGCTGGGCCACATGTTTCGAACAGTTTTAGCAACCTGATGCAAAGAAACGTTTGTTACAACAAGTGTTAATTTGTATTATTTTGCTATGGCTATGGTGTATACTCGAAGCACGTTTATCTCGTTGCGGTTAATCACTGAGCTGATTTTTGAGTATTTTTTCAGAAGTTTTCTAGTTCTAATGTTAGAAAAGAAAACAATTTCTGTAGAGAAAAATCAAAAAATTAGGTTAGATTATATATCTAAAAGTTTTATCTAGATTAGAAACTTTTGTAGTTGGGTTCGAGAAACCTTTTAACTAATGTACTGCAGCATTGAGTTTTTCTTTTAGAGCTATTCGTGTTCAATTTTTAGTCTCTCAATACTTCTATTAGTCAAACATTATGGATTAATTGACTTACCGTTGTGGGGCATTAAGCAGTGAGCACTTTGGTGTACAAGAAGAAAAAAAATTTTTTTATGGGATAAATAATGAGAAAGACCATTTTTTAATTTTATTAAAAAAGTAGCTAAACTTCCATCCAGGCGGTCTTTTGGCTGTATCATTTTGGGTTATGGAATCGCAATCATTTTGTTTCAACCAAAAATAACGATTTAACAACAAAAAACTTGGAGCTTGCTGATAGAAGTTGCCATTCATATAGATAAAGTCATGGAACATTGAAGTTGCAAATTTTTGATTTCAACGATCGAATCAACGTTTTGTCGTTTTATCTGCAAATAATTAGGATAGGCTGTTGAAAATGTGACATATGCCAGATCAAAAAATTTTGGAAGCACATAGCAGGGCAAAAAACTGAGAATATATGTTAGCCAGTATATCATAATTAGTTTTTGAGGAGATCATGCTGTGGAAACTTTTTTGAAAACAAACAATAATTTCATGCGCTCAAATTAGTTCCTTGAGGAGCTGAAGATGCCACCAAATTATGCCACCAAAAATTGACAGAGAAGATAGTTGAAAGAGCTACATTGTCCAGCATCGAGACATTCATATCTGTTTTGACAACACAGGCAATAAAATTTTTTGGTAGCCTATACCAGAAAGTTAGACGAAGCTTAAGTAAGCCTTACGGTATATGCGAATCTTGTGCATGGATCAGATCAGTAAGTTTTCCAAACTTTCAGCAGAAAAAAATTTTTTATAGGAAATTTTTGATCATCAGCAGGAAACTTTTAATAACATTTAGCCATTTTTCGCTGCCGGTCGAAATAAATATTTCAATTTTTTTGTCTGTCATTTTTTTGCGGTTTCAAAAGTAATTCAAGTTCACCAGCTTCCCAAAAAAACCAATTTGAGCCCATAAGTTCATTTTCTATAGTGTTTTTGAGAATAATTTTACTGCAAGAGGACCACTAAATCTAGTAATGATGTATTAATGTCTCAGATTTCTCAAACACCCCTGCGATTTCATTCTAATTGGTTTCATTTAAAATATGCCAAAGTTCCATAACAAAACTTTAATTAGTTGCGGCGAAAAAACTAAAAACGTGAAAAATAAATCGTTTTTTTTTCTCGTTGAAGACAAAAAGTTGCAACCTCTGTGCTCTGTAATAACAGATAAAAAGTTTTCTTTCAAAGACAGTTTTGAAAACTGCTTGGCATTTAAAATCACTAGAAAAAACTTTTTGTTATAAATCTCAAAATTGTTTTTAATACCTCATAATCAAAAAGTTTATCCAGAATTCTATCACAAAAAAAATTAGAAAAAAATCAAACCTAAGAAATTGCCATTGGACTTTTTTGTCGTTTCAATATTTCTCACTGAAAAAAAATTACACACGATAATAAAAAAGCTATAGCATCACTAGAGAGTTAGTGTCCCATTTTTTGTTTTGTTTAACAAAATTGCGGCCACGAGGGAAGATCAACAACGTCCAAATTGTTACTGAATTTGTGGAAAGAAAAGCAAATATGCTATATTGAAAAATTAACCAACTTGGTTTAGAAAAACTCAGCACATATAGTGTATTTTCAAAACGTTTGTTATGAACCCTCTCACGTTTGACAAATAATTGAGCTATTGAAGTGATTCTTTTGTAGTAAGCATCAAAAGTTAGCCGAATTCTGATGATGTAATTCAGTAAGTTGGGTTGTTTTTTATCCACACATCTTTTTGCAGATTATTGAATTTTCACTGCAGTTTGCGATGAACAAGCAGCTATTGTGCTGAAATAAAAAAACCGGATAAAATGAACTGAAATAGAATTCGTTCACTTGTTTTTCTTAATTTTGGTTTTATTCGGCCAAAAAATTATCAGGACAAAAATGGCTCGGAATTCTACCAGGTTTTTTGAGGCAAAGTTTTTTTTTGTGCAAAAATCAAACCAAAACTACACCCTGAAAACGGGTCGATTCATTTGATTCAAACTTAATGAGGTAAACAGGGTCAGCTGTAGTAGGAATGACTACGATTGGCACTGTTTACCTCCTTAAATTTGAACCAAATTAAATGACTTGTTTTAAGGGTGTAATTTTGATTCAAAAATTTGCAATAAAATTGACCCATAAAAAAGCTGCTAAAATGCCAAGCTATTTTTGTCCTCATCAATTTTTTTGGCCGAATAAAAACGAATTTGAGGAAAAACAAGTTTAAAAAATCTGATTCAGTTTGTTTTATCCGGTTATTTTAATTCAGCAGTAATAGCCTGTTCAGCGCAAAATGCAGTGAAAACTCAATAAATTGCAAAAACACGGGTGAACAAAAAACAATGCAGCTCACTGAAGTACATAATTAAATTCGGCAAATTTTCGCTGCTTGCTGCAAAAAAAAAATCACTTCAATAACTTACTTATTTGTGACTCGAGAGACGGAAAATACCCTGTTTTTTTTCACTTCAACTTTTTTTGCTAAATGATATGATTTGTTGCTTAGTTAAATTCCTGTCGCGAACTTTTGGCTTCTGTGTTGTAGAATTTCATATAAATAATAGGCTGAAAGTGAGGTTTGTTGCTTATATAAAAAATACCTTAACCAAGTTAAGCCCAAATCATAAATTTTTAACAACTCATCTCAAAAATTGAAAACTGAATTAATATGCTTTTTTGAAAATTTTTTAAAAGATTTGAAATTTTGGTTGCATTAGAGCTGATGTATTTTAAATTTTTAGACCACATGAGGAACTTTATTA